AAGGTGCACTTTTTTTACAGGACTAAAAAACTAACAGACGGCACCACATAATTTTTTTTTTACATCAACAAACGGCGCCACAAACCTAATTCATCGTAATACATGCATTACTGAAATTATAGCAGCTGCGAGCAATGGGCAATTATAATTCCTATTTGGCAATATTATCGGCACTGGATTCCGGTCCAATTCAACGGTTAGATTGGTCGAAGCAGATCACTGATCTTTTGAAGGAACACTCTGTGGTTATGGACAGTTCTCATTCGTTCAAAAATTATCGCACACTGTTAGCTGAAAGTCGTCCTCCATGTTTGCCTTACATGTAAGCTTTGAGAATGAGAAGCTAATCAAAAAACCAGAAAATCTGAGAAACGGAAAATTGGCGAAGACTTAAAAAAACTGAAATTCGACTACTTCTGCTTATGCTCGTTGCTCTTTATGATTTGATAAGCTATGATTCAATTTTCTGCGATGGTCACCATATTGGCGATTTGTGACAAAATAACTGCATCGACGGGTAACGTTCAAATTCCTCAAGAAGTGGGTGGAGCCTGTGCCTTAGTGTGGTGATAGCGTCAGAGTTATGCAAACTACCATGACAAATGTGTATTTGGAGAATGTATCACGCATCCACTCATATTTCTCCATCTGTTTGAATCAATGTTCACCTTCCACCACCTTTTCGCGCAGCTAGCTATACTGAAGCGCAGGGCTTGTGCGCATAGTTCAGGACGTAGAAAATTCATTTCCGGTTCGATACTTGGAATGTTTATGTGCCGCAAGACTACAGTTTTACAGCGCCGTTCTTGTGAATGGTCTAGCAAGATTGGTCAGATATTTGCCCCGAAGTTAGCAATCTAGAAAAAGAAATTAGGTACAGTTCTAATGACCTGCCGATGTCCTCTGAAGCGCCAGTTTTATGGCTTTTAAACAGTCTTGAGTCACAAATTTAATATAGGGCACAACCGTATGTGAAAAAAAAAAACCTCGTGAGATTTGCTGACTCATTGCGGGCCTCCGGTCTACCATAAAACAGTTTTTTTTTGTCACTGGATGCAAAAAAAGTGAAATACTCGCGAGTTTCATTAATTTTTGTTCACATGAAACTTAATTTACATGATTCCGCTGGTTCGTTTGCAGCCTATTATAAGTTATTTGTTTTAGAGGTCTTGTTTTGCAAGATCTAACGTTTGTACACATTGGCAACAGTGACTACCTTCAGCCAGAGCAATGCAATGGTAAAAGAAATCTCTTGAATTACGGCAAAAGGTGGCAGCAATTTGCTATTTTGGATAGCATCCGACGTTTTAAAAGCTGGTATGTTTAGACAGTTTACAGACCATCGAATTTGTAACTTTATGTATAGGGCGCACCAGAGGCAATGGGCCTGTTTTTACATTGCTAGCAAAATCATTCATCTCAAAAAAAAGCCAATTCCTGTGTGCCGGATAAAAAATGTGAGCAGGCGTTTTTTGCACAGTTCTGACCAGTGGATGTTTGCTGTTAAGAGCGTTCAGCTGCTTTCCAGTCTGATATGCGCGCTGATTTTGAAAATGTTCTTATCATTTTCACAAAAAAAAAAAAAAAAAAA